TATTCTGATTTTAGAACACACACGCTGCGTTATTGTTCTTTGCGGTTTCTTGATCTGCGTAGAACAAGCCTTTGATTTAAATATATTTTATCTCAAAACAGAAATACATGAACAGTGCCTCAACTTATTTCATAGAATACATAAACTGAAACAAACAAAAAAATATCTATATGAAAAAGGATGTGAAATGCACTAGGGATGTTCAGATACCAAGTACCGTACTCGGTACAAGTACAAGTACAGATAATTTTCCAGCTTCAAGACTAGACTAGAGAGAAATGTAAAAGTTTGGAGGCAGTTGTAATTTTTAAGGAGCACACAGAGCTCCTAGGATTTGTGCATCTCTGTTTTAATGTATGATTTTTTTTATATAAATATATTAAAGCAGAGGTGTAAAACTCAAATACACAGTGGGCCAAAATTTAAAAAAGGCTCCAAGTCGAGGGCCGGGCTGGTTCACACAGTAACCATCTTTAAAGCTGGAAGTGTACCGGCGGGCCAGATCTAATGATAATTAAATATTATCATGCGGGCCAAAGATAATTCCATCGCGGGCCGGTCTTGGCACGCGGGCCTTGAGTTTGACACCTATGTATTAAAGGGATGCACCAATACCATTTTTCCAAGTACTGATACTTGCCCAAGTACTCACAGATACAAGTACTGATACATTTTTGTGTATTGTTACGACAGTTTTTCCAAAACAGTACACACAAATGATTTCAGGACAGTGGTGGAGTGCCAGAGCCAGGTCCCAGCTGCAACCCTGTTAGTTCTAATGAAAATGTCAAGTATTGGCACTGGTATCTGAACATCCCTAAAATGAACATATAGTGAATAAAAAGGTCAGAATTGAATGTGCAGGCTTCCAATCCTCCCTCTTGTGCAGACACCCAGGTGAAACAGCAATCTACCACCTAATGATTAGTCATGTGGTGGGCTTGGTGCAAGCAAAGTTCTCACACAAAACTGGGACAGACCCACACCCTTCTCGGCCCAATTGGCTGCAGCAGGGCCATTCCCCACCCCTCAGCTACACATCACAAGGGGGTTGGAAATGCCTGTTCCACCTACTTATGATTTATGATGTGCGGGGCTTGGTGAGAACCAAGTTTGACTGAGTTCACCCAAAACTGTGACCGAAACACACCCTTCCCAGCCCAATCAGTTGCAGCAGGGCCTTTCCACGCCCCACAGCTACATGTCACAAAGGGGTGGGGAATACCACTTCCACAACTGATTAGTCTGGGATGGGGTTGTGCCAGTCACGGTTTGCGTGGGCATTTGCGAACCTCAGCAAACTGGGTTGACACAGGGCTTGGGAACAAAGTGCCTGGGAGCTAAGTGGCGTTAAAAAATTGGCGTTGGACTGTTTGGGATATATTGAGTGCTTGATTTTTTGAATACTTGTTGTCTCCCTTCCTTTTTAGACCCTTTTTTAGTATTTAAAAACTCTTTTTCCTTTTCTGTCAGTTTTTTTAAACTGTTCCCTTTTTTTTTTAAGTTAGGGTCTGGAACTCACTGCCACAGGCGGTGATTTCAGCAAATAATGTGGAATTGTTCAAGAAACTTTTGGACGATTTCTTAAGGGACCGTAATATACAGGGGTACGGGTACTCCTAGAATGAGATCCTAATAGGTTGGACTTGATGGACTAATGTCTTTATTCAACCTCAAATACTATGTAACTATGACACCAAGCCCCCACGTATCACTATTGATGACAAGCAAAACTCACGAGGGCTGCTGGACCTTCTATCAAAGAAAGTTAAAAGTGCAATAATATTTGGATTATGATATTCCCAAATCAAATTAAACATCTGGGACATTCAGGGGTTCAACTCCTACATCAGGGTATTTCCACAGTGCATGGTTCACAAACAAGCAAACAGAGATGATTCCATAGCGTAATACTGCATATTAAGACCACAGATTGAAAACTCACTTACATTCAGCCTGTGCACAAAGCACCACGGGGGCCATTTTTTAAGCAAATTAGTGACAACTAGTTGCACATCAGGACGCCTCACTTCAGCAAAGTCTCTGCGACAGGTTTACAGACTTTCAAGTCTGTATTCCTGGGCAGCCAAGGGAGACAGTTTGCAAAGTTACAAAAAAGATTTTCACAAAACAGACGCATATTTGGGAAGTGGTCAGGATAAGGTATTGTGAGAACTATAGTTTGTTTTAGTTTATGTATTATATGAAATCAGTTGAAATGCTCCGTATGTACTTAGGGTTTGGATTTCAATTGTTTTCATTTTTAAACAGCTGCTTATTCCACAGGGTCATTCGTTTTTGTATCTCATCGTCATTTTCATTGCTTCTAGCTTGTTTTGATTTCAATAAATTTGATTAGTGCTGTGTTTTTCTTATGTATATTTCATGTTCTATAGTCATGTTTCATGACTTTTTAATGGCTTTGCTTCAAATAGGATATGTATATCAGCATCATGATGCAGGCATCTTAGGGACCGTTTACACTGTTACGCGGTGTTAACACTGCTTATGTAACTAATTAATTAGCATTTTGTTAAGGCAGCACATTCATTAGAATAGGCTGCCTAATGCAAGAAAAGAGGTGCGCATACTATTGTATTGCAACGCAGTGCACTACAACGCACAGAAGTACATTACCATGTGCTGTGGTGCGCTTCAATGGATGTCCATTAGTAAGGTGCATCAGGGTGCCATCTCATCGCACCAACACTTGTAACATGCATTAAGCCCCTGACACACTGCACACAAAGCCGTGTGCATCGAAGCAAAGCTGTCGGGCACGGAGCTTCGCATGCAGTGTGTGAGCCGAGTGCAGGCAGATGAATGACAGCACCTTCAGCCAATCGGCTCGCATGTTACAACCAGTTGGACTTCGCATCCTGACACACAGGCTCATAAGCGCGAGCCCATTGGCTGAAAATGAAATTTGTCATCTTGTCACGCTCAGCTTTGCGAACTCCCGCAAGTTGACGTGCGGAAGAGAAAATTACATGGCACACTGCACGCAAAGGCAGCGCGCCACCGCTCCGCGTGCAGTGTGTCACAGCCTTTATGGTAACATGCCCATTGCCACAGCACAATGGCGTGAACTGGCCCATAAAGTGAACCTTTCTTTTTACAATGATGGGCAAAGGAAAGGTTCACTTTGAGGAAACCTGTCTTGAGAAACATCTGGGCATTGTCATTGTTGGCTTCTCATTCTAAAAATGTACAATCTGGATGCTATGAAAATGCAATGAATCTAACAAACTACATAAAACATAGGAAGTCTAAACAAAAAGTAAAAAAAATTGTACTAACTCTAGCTCCCAACTTTACAGTGATGACATGCTCTCGAGCTGTAGAATCTTCTATTTTCAGCTTGAGGGTACTGAACTCATTGTCAACAAATAATAGCCTAGAAGAAAGAAAAATAGTTTACAAATACAGTTAGAAATATCTTTTGAAAGTAATGGTCAGTGCTATCTCAGACCACTTGCTCTAGCTGTGAAGAACAATGTGTTATTTAAACATAACTAAGAAAGCACACTGGCTGCACTGGTCTCAGCCCCTTGTGGTATCTGCCCTATTTCTAAACAAGGAGCTGCAAAGGATACCTGTTGCTTTTGTATCAGAGAGGTGTCAGGCTGTCAGAACATTTGTGCAGCAGATCTGGAATAAAGCCAAAATGGAAATGCTAACATAGCAATAAAGAGTGGAAGAGAGGACTGCATCCCCACAGCCAAAGAACCTTGAAATTGGAGGACAGCACCCCCCATTACTGGCACATGGTAGGGGCAGGGCATCATCATATGTTACTAAAACCTTGCCTTTCTCCTCTTGTCATAAATTAAAAGGTTTCTGTCAAAGTTCAGTCAACACTAGGTTTCTATCCCTCTTTAAAAATGGCACCAGTATACTGTATGCTTATGAACAAAATATATAATGTATTAGGGCAGATACAGGTCATTTTTACCAGTACTTGTACTGGTGAAAATGCCCCGATACTAAAGGTTGATACAAGCCCTTTAAATGTTTAAGAAGTTTGGCTTCCTAAGTTCCCGCACTTGCTGGGGACCTCAGGCAGCCGTCTTTGAAAGTAGCGGTCCGGCCCCACATCGCCACCTTCTTTCTGGTGCCCGCAAACACAAGCACAACAAAGGATAGCCCCACACCGCTTTACAGCCCTGGAGCCCGGCACCCGCTCGCACCACCCACAGCCCTGGTGAGAACCCCAACGCAGCCCTGGTGAGACCCTAATGCCGCCCCGTATATTAATGGAATGATGGGATCAATGATTATACAGCAATAGAGAATGGCAACCGGCTATAGAGGACTACAAATTTCAGCAATCCATGACTGCTGGCTGGCATTTTCCATTGCTGAATAATCATGGATTGCTGAGATTTGTGGTCCTCTATAGCTGGTTGCCATTCTCCATTGCTGAATGAGCATGGATTGAGTTACAATTCTTAAAGGAGAACTATGAGGTGAGTGATTTCCACTCACCTCATAGTTCTAGCCGACCTGTGACAATGAGACTGTCACAGGTCGGCTCAGTAGATAGGGAGGTGAGGGAACACATACCGGCGTTCGCTCACCTCTCGATCCTGTCACAGCTCTCTGCCGTGACAGGGGAGGGGCTGGATTCCCCCCTCCCCGCTCCGATCCGCCAGCGCTGACTGGTGGATCGGACGGGGGAGGGAGAGGGTACAGCTGGCTCTGCCTCTAGATAGGCAGAGCCAGCTGTCAGTCACGCAGCTGGGCGGGTTCCGGCACAATTGTCGGGATCCGCTTCAGCTGCGGCGTCGCAGTATACCGCGAGCAGCAGCTTGCGGTATACTGCGGCTTCTCAGTATACCGCGAGCTACAGCTTGCGGTATACTGAGCATAGGGTGACGGGAGGACGCTAGTTTGTGTCCTCCCGTTACCCTAAGGAGAACTATGGGGAAAAGCCTTAACCCCATAGTTCTCCTTTAATTGTGCCTAAGCAGTAACCTGAAAGATTTACACTTTGTCTTTAATTCTTCCTAAAAAATTGCAGTGCATTTCCTAGTATGCGAGGGTGTAGTAGGCGAGACAGTGCAGGATATGGAACTGTAGGTCAGGAGTGGGGGAAAGAGCAGCTGTAGGGAGACCATAGGCAGGACTGTTGACTAGTCCTTTGCCATCTGCCTGCCATTTTTAAGCATGATTTCCAGAGTTCAGTTACTCCTAAATATGTATGCACAGCAAGCCAACACCTGAATGCCTGTGACTTTCATTATGCGCACACATAAACCTCTGCTTCCTATAGAGTTTTCCCCCATTTAAAATGTACAATAAAGACCCTTATGGCCAAGAAACTAAAACCCAAGCAGTAAGCTGTATGCTTCCATACAAAGTCCATATAAGATAGAAGAGAACTTTGCTTCCAGCACAACTGTACCTGTTTGCTTCCTATTCCCAACACACAAACATGTAAACAGCTACTCAAGCTGTGCTAAAAATGGAAATCTGACACGTGTAAACACCACACAGTTCATTCACAGGTGTTTAAGTCTACTAGTAGCTAGATATTTTGCATTGATGCAGCTATTCTAAATGCCCCGTATCAAGAGATTTCCACATTGTTTGCCCAAGTCTGAACAATGTAATTAAGTTTCATACAAGGTAATTTAAATTGGATTAAACTTTGACAGACATATTTGCATTTTAAATGTGAAAGTCTTGTTTGTTGTTTCTGACAAACATATTAAAAACATAAAATTATTTTTTAGATACCAAATGTTAAGAAATGTCACTATCTAGATGGAAATTCTTTGGTTTATCTCCAAGCATGCCATTTCAAAGGTCAATTCTGCAATGACCCGGGACTTGTGCTCACCATTTGAAAGGATGTGGTTACAAGGACACTCGCAAAAAGCCAAGCAAGATGGCAGACATCTGAGAGAGCTCCATAACACCCAGACACCTAAGAGCTATTTCCAGCAATAACAAGCATACCCCTTACCCTTCCTCGCTGGATCTTTCACTTTGGGAGTGTGATCAGGATCAAGATCAGTTGAAGGGAAAGATTTAACCAAGAATGGGAGAGACACAGCTATGCCAAATTATGTAATATGCTTAATTTGGAGTGCTGATCTTTCACTTGCCAGCTAGAGAATTGGGAACTGCTCTAAGAGTTAGAATCTGATAATTCGGGACTTCCCAGAGACCATAGAGGCTCTCACCTTCACAATAACAGCCTTGCTCCAAGAGATATCTCCCTCTATACCTATTGAGAGACTAGGGTTTGATCGTATCCATAGAGCCCTTGCAAAAAAAAAAAAAGAAGACCATATGTACATCCCAGGTACATTATTGTGAAGCCTACCTTCCATAAGATGAAGACCATATTGCTGGCAGCCAGGGGCCGTAGGGGAGTTTGTATTCCAGGGCCACCCCTACTATATAATCCCAGATTTATCAAAAATGCAGAGAGAGCTAAAACTATACTTGGACACTCTATGTTCACATGATTTCCCAGAATACAGATGGGTATTTCCTTTTAAGATGTTGTACAATCACAGCAGGATAACGTATACTGCCGCCAAGCTAGAGGATGTAAGAAAAACCCTGAAAAGTGTTGAACTTCTCCTGGCAACTCCACAGGATTCACCATAATCAACTCCTAGGCAGAAATCTTTCCAAGTTAGATGGATCTGGGAGAGGAAACAGTGAGATTAGCCCAGGGTGAGAAAGGTCCCTCTATACCTGGATGCCTTAACCCCACCATTTGTTTGACATGGTTGATGACAATGCCATACTTTCTAGAAAACCTCCAACACTTCATTAGTTATATTGACTTGTTATTTAATGATGTTATATATGAAATTGACAGGTGCCTGCTGATGTGTCAGTTACTACCAAATACCATACCCCTCTCCCCTTTATTCACAAACTGGGTTGTTCTTAACGTGAGTTTTACTAACTTGCAAACGCTGAGCACGCAGAGTACTTGTCAATATTCCCCTGCTGCTCCCTCTAACCACCACTATATGATGAATGTGCAATATCATATCGGCAATGACATATCGGCAAGCACAACATACTGTTTATGGTTGCAATCCCAATGCGTCTACTAATAGGCATGTCCCATTCTACATGTCTCCTACTTCCATGCATTCCCATATCCATTTACACTACTCTCCCATGTTTTTCCATGAGACAGGGTTATCAAGCATGTTTAGTGTGATATATTGCACATCATTTCTACATATCCTTCTGTACATGGTCCCCATCATGTACCTCCTCTAACACTACATACCATTAGCTCTATTCTTGGTTTCCAGGTGGTAGATATCCCCCACCATATAGAAGACACAGATATATGTTTACTCCATGACAAGACACAGAATATACGTTTACTCCATGACAAAAATTTTCCAGCACACTTATTAGCTAGCCTGAAACAATAAGGAATTACACCAACAGTATGCATTAAAAATAGGGGTTCTAGTTGCGCAACTTTTGCACAATGTGGAAGCTACACTGCCTCATCAAGGCTCCTCTGTGAAGTGTGGTGCTAACGCTGATCTTTGAGAGCCTCCACAATGGAGCCTATAAAGCAGTAGATCAATTGAATGCTATATTTTGTATTGTTGCAATTCCTTCCATGTGCACTTTGCCCTTCCATGTGCACCTTGCTTTTATGACTAATTTTTTGGGAGCACCTGGCTTCTGGGATATTGCCCTAGCTACTCTGACACATGTTTCCAAGGTTGTTCCATCACTGGAGACATGCTACATCTGGTGCATATGTCCATTTGCAGCAACCTTTCAGGCAAAGGTTGTTTGACTCCTCAAATCTCAGAGATATTACTAAAATCTAGAAAACAGACAGCTCACCCCTGTCATGCACCCTTGTAATCTACATTCGGTGAAGGGATGACCCTGCTATGGAGTGTAAATCTCAAAAATTACAGAACTAGCACAAGATGCTCTTCCAAAGAAAATCAAACTTTATTCCACACGCATCTATAAAAAAACAACAACTTCTGATGCGTTTTCAGAAACGATACACCATATACTACTCAGCTAACTATTTTGAAGCTACAAAAAAAAAAAAAAACTTATCCGATTTCCAGTACTCAAACATAGGATACAAAATATAATGATTAATGAATGACAAATAAGCATTCCTGATGATAAACATAAGACATTTTTACATATATGGGAGCCCTGGATTTTGCTTTATAACCCACAATTCAATGTAAATAGCCTTCAATATCTCTGATCAGATGAGCATTGAAGGTAGAGAGGGGTTACCCTCTCCTTCCTGAGGCCACCCATTGCATCCTGGTAAGGCAGAATCTTTGTATCTTTGCTGATGCTGAAAATGGAAAGCCCATCTTCCTTTCCTCTTTTCCTCCATCAGTCT